GCAAGCTACTCAGTCTTTTTGAGGAAGAGTGGGGCACAAATGGGAAAAACCCCCAGGAATCCTGACATTGCACTGCATTGAGGTATGTGCTGTTGTGTGTGATGTGAGCATTTCATCACCCCACCAACCCAGTTGATTGTGCTTGTTTCTGAGGATGATCAGGACTGTTGTGTGACATTGATTTTAGTCAAATCAAAACGTTGACTTGCATTCTTTGGTCTCGGCAGAGTGTGGGATGAAGAACTGATGGGGCATAAGCAACATCCCTCCGGGCTCAATCATTCTGCTATTGCATAAGGTGTCACAGAAAAACCAGAGTTCATTGGGAAAAGCTGGTCAGCAGTCACAGATAGACAAGCACTTGCGGACATTGAGAAGATGCAGTAATTCTTCCTTATGATTCTGCTGCCCAAATGCATTTTAAATCCCGTTTCCTCCTATCACCTTAATCCTCACCATTTCCTTCAAATTCCATGATCTGAAAATATATATATTTTGTTGTCAGCATTATGTGTAACTAGTATACATGCTATAATCTGGTCATAGAATCTGGAGTTTCTACTTGCAATATTCTACAGAATTCATTATTTTCTACAGATTTCAGAGAAACAAAGACATGTGTAGTCTCTAGCTGATTCCCCCCATCTCTTTCTCCCTCCCTCCTTGCCTTTTCAATTATTTTCACTAAGTTACAGGGTGAGATAACTTAATGACCTATAAAAATAAGACATTTGATTACAAATACATATTTTAATTTTTTCTCCAGGTATATAAATATTCAGTTCCCCCCCCTCCACAAAAATGTGTATTTACTGCTTGTTGTCTGTTGAAGACTACGTAAAGTGCTAAAAGACAGTGTGTTTGTGAAATGTAAAAAACAAACAAAACACGCACATGCATTTGCACAGGGAACAGAATCAAAATGACTCATCGAAAGATTTCTTTCCTAAATGAACACTATTATTTTCTTGTTTTCCTTTCTGTTCTTGATTGTCTTGTATGTCTAACAATAGAGAGAAATAATGGTAGCAAGAAACAGAAATAGAACTAGCAATGTCAATGTGAAATGATACTTATTTACACGGCTGTATTTTAGGGAGGCTTTCAAATAGTATGCAGAACAGACTACGCACTAGAGCTTCAGAAGCACATGAAGAGCATTTATTTGCCTACCATCTCCTGCTTCTTGTAACCACTTGAGAGCAGTCACCAACCAAACAGTTTTGTTGAGTGACCCAGGGCAGAGTTACTTGGGAGTTACTCCAAATTCAGTGGATGAAGGGTTATGGCTGTAATCTTTGATCCAATTGCATATGTCATTTGACAATTGTTTGACATTCAATGTTTAATCTGTGCCAGAAGGCCCTTTAGTTTATCTGTAAGATGCCAAGTCTGGAGTAGGTGTGACCATAGATTTCTTTAGATTTCTGTGGTGCTGGAATGAGATTGCTTTGCAGACTATAGCTGCAATCCCCCAGACATGCCCGCCATTCCACCCACCTTCTCCATTTGTGGGTTTTGCCAATCTATTGCCCTCCAGATTTGCGGGACTACAACTCCCATCAGCCCCAGTCTGGAGCAGAGGTGGATTAAGGAGAGTGTGACCGGTTTGTTCACCCTGGGTAAAGAGCCTTGGGGGTGCTGCAGGGGACGTGGCAACTATGATTTAGAATAGGGCACAAGTGGCAGGGGGTGCTGCTGAAATTTGAGACCCCAAGGTCTGCCACTGTCTGGAGGACACCAACTTAGCAAGGGCTATTCCACTGAAATGATGGTTTCATTTTGAATATCTTCAGGGCACAATTCTGTACTGACAAATCCTTGAATGAGGGGGCTAAAGTATTTGACAGGGACACAGCAATGTTGGAGGAACATCTGATATGCAACTGCCATGACAGGTCATGCTGGTCAAATGGCTAAACAGGGTAGCATTGTGGGTGGCGCATGGGTGGCAGCACACAGCAGGAGCACATTTATGCTGCATCCTCTCTACCTCTTTGACTCATGGACAGTGCAACTCCTCCCACTGATTTCAATGAGGTAAGATTTTTTTCTTTGAAAATATGGCTAACCCCACATCAGTTATGGCCCCACACATGTCACAGTGACAAAGCGCAGGTTATGATGTAACTCAGAACCCAATCACACTACCATCAGTCTATAAACCCCACACAGGGAGACAATAACTGAGGTGATAGGATGCTGTGTCTGGGATTATCTCTCTCTGGCCCAATACTGAACATGCTTAAGGGTTCACAAAGGGAACTCTGGGGATGAGAAACTCTGGAGAAAGGGCACCTTGCACACAAAGGGAGCACTCTGCGCAAAGCAGGCTAGCCTCGTTAGATGCATGGTAACTTGAGCCCGTTGCTAACACATCTATGCCTAGATCTCTAAAAAGTACCTTGCTCTTGACTTCCTCCACACCCAAACACATAATACCAAATTCCACTCCAACAACTGATGTTCATGCTGATGATCTATTACATTTGTATACCACCCTTCGTCCAAATATCAGAGGGAAGTTCTGGGAATACCAGAAAAGAGCACCCCATATGGCTAAGGAAGGGAAGGGGGAACACGGGCTGTCATGCCCAACTGCTACAGAAGTCTTCCATGTTTTACTCACTCCACCCTTATGTCACAGGCAAAATTGTGCAGGAGTCATTCGCTTTCTCTGGATGCCGGTGGCAGGTTGGGCTCCATTGCCAGCCCTGTCCCTTACCAGTGGGTACAGGATCCTGGAAACATTTATGTGTTTTAAAAAAAATTCTCCTTGTGTGTTTTCCCATCTTCCCTCTCAGGCTGAGCCTGCATTCTTGGTGCCATTAAGCCAATCTGCCAGCATAGCACCAATGTGTCTCTGATCTGTGTGTGAGCCTGGAAAAGATGAGCTATGATAGCCATCTTCAAAGATCTTAAGGACTGTCACATGGAGGAGGGAGCATGCTTGTTTTCTCCTGCTCTGGAGGGTAGGACTCAAGGCAATGGCTTCAAGTTACAAGAAAGCAGATTCCGACTAAGCATTTGGAAAAACCAGTAAGAGCTGTTCAGCCATGGAACACACTCCCACGAGAGGTGGTGGACTTTCCTTCCTTGGAGGTTTTTAAGCAGAGGTTGGATGGCCATCTGTCATGTATGTTTTAGCTAAGATTCCTGCATTGCAGGGGGTTGGACTAGATGACCCTTGGGTCCCTTCCAACTCTAAGATTCTATGATTCTATTCCATTTTCACACTTGGGAAACCATACATAGGCTCTTTGCAAGCCTTAATTAGTGTTTCACACTATATATATATATATAATTTGTGATCCTTTTTCTTTAGGAATTCATCTATAGCACACTTTTGATGGTTCAAGATTGCTACCTGTGGGAGAGTGTAATATAAATGCTAGCAACTTTGATGTGAGGTATATTGGACATAGAGTTTCTGTCCCATCCCAGATGCAATGATTTAAGTCCCATCCCAGATGCAATGATCCAAGAGAATACATTAGAGTCCCTCCTAGCCCTGTGGATCTGTAATTTTAGCACCATCCAGTTAGTGGCATTGCTATACAACTACAAAATAAAAGCAAAATGTAAGTTTTGCAGTTCTGGGCATTCATGAACTTAACTAAGTGGTACCCACATATCCTTTTCATCTTCCAGACTGGGGCAGAGCTGTGCTTTTTATGCAGACTGCGCTGTGTCTGTACAGTGAATGCCGCAAAACTATTTCTTCACTATTATCTTGGGCCCTGAAAAGTTCAAGAGATAAGCCAGCATGGGAAAAACAACTCCATTTCTCTTCCTATCACTTTTTAAAATTGCTTGATTGTTTCCACTTTCCAGCTACTGGAGCTGCTCTTCATTCCCAAGGACTCTTCTGACGCTGCACCACTGCTAGGCACAAAGCAGTTAATCCCGCCCCCCCCAGCAAAAGGGACTTGCATGCTGTAATATGTACAATAAGCCTCTCTCTTCCCCCACTTCACACCTTTCACTAGAATGCTAACTTTTAAACTGACCAAAGAGAGTTGGGAAACTTTCAAGAAGCAACACCACGTTCATAGGGCTGAATCGAGTGGCTGTTCCATGTTGCACTGTCCATGGTGCTGATGCATGGTTTATGCATTCTATGCTTAAGAGAGGGCAACTTGATCTTGCTGCAAGACATCATCCCAAAGCCACAAACTTTCTCTACTAAATCAGTGGCGGCAAACCTTTCATTATCCCACCCCGCCCCCCACTTACAACTGGGAAAGATACCCCCCCACCCCACATGTTCTATGGAATTGAAGTTAATATTCCCTGGGTCGCCATGGTGATAGTGAGCTCTGTTCCTTCGAGCAAGACAAATTAGGCATCACCTCATTAGCCTAAAGACTTCTTTCGCTTGCTGCTTTGCACATCACAGAACTCTCTTGCTCCTCAAAAGATTCAGGAGAGAAATGGGTGTCACTGCATGACTGTGTGACATTGCGTCACAGTGCCACAGATGCCTTGTTCTTTTAATGACACCCCCCACTCTATTGTAACCATTGCTCTGCTATGATGCAAATTCAGGGTGCCATCCAGCGCCAGTGAAATCAGGCAGAATCCTGCCATGGGTTTCAGCTGGCACTCTCAGCCCTGCCTTTTCCCGTTCAAGCTTCGTGGGAATATTCTCTCTTTATATCCTGGATGTTGCCATGCAGGTCTTTATTTGGAGCATTCTGCTGTTTCCCACACCAGCCTCCCAGAGCTTGAAATGTGGGATTAAGTACCCTGCTCAGTTACATAATTAGATCATGGTTTGTCTCCCTATCCTCAAACTAGCAATCATTTGTTTTTAGTAAACAAACAAATAGGTCCAAATAGGTTCTCCAGATGTGGTTATTCTTAAAAATCAACCACAGCCTCGTAACTTGTCTGATTTCAGCCAAGAGGTTTTTGCCAGGGAAGGGAGAAAAGAGCCACAACTTTCAAGGATCTCGGGGCTGGGTGACTTTTACTATCCAATTATTGCTCCCTTCCCGATGCACATCTGGCTGCATGGACCGAAACCAAGCCAACGAAGATACCCGCCCCTTCCCTCTCTTTCTGGTAAACAGGATCGGAGAACAATTGATTCCTTCAACAACACAACACACACACGCCTTCCCCACAGCCTTCTCCACCAACATATCCGGAGTTCCGACCCAAAGGGAGAGAGAAACAGATCTGGAAGAAGTGGCCGGCTGCGTTTCAAGCCTCCCTCCACCACCTCGCCAAGCCTTTCCAGGTTTTCACCGGCGAACCAAGAAGAGGATGCGAAACGGACCGTCCCTTTGTCGCCATGCCGTTGGCATCTCCGTCTCCCAAAAGCACAACTTTGGGACGGGATCTGCTGGGGTGGGCGAGGGCGGAGGGGGAAGGAGCGAGGGCTGGATACCTCCTGGGCTTCGCGCACGGCGAGAAGGAAGAAAGCTGCATTGCCCTACCTGTTCGGCGCACGGCTTCGCTCACTCGATCATGATTCCTCCCTCCGAGATCGAGCAGGGTGGGCGCGGGTGGGTGGCTTTTTTGGGGCGGCTGGTCGCTCACTGGAGGATGGAATGTCGATTTCGAGCCAATGCCCGTCTCCAAGGAAAGGGCAGGCGAGGCGTCCCGCGTCTACAGCGGTCCCGCGCTGCTCTCCGCGGCGCCCATCCTGCGCGCTGCTCACCTGCCTCTGGATCCCTTTGGGTTTCCTCCACAAGCGCAGCCGGGCGAGAGGGCTGGAGTTGAGCGGGCGCCCGCTGGTCGCCCAGGCAGAGTTCAGCGGGATGGCGAAGGCATCGGATAGGCACCACGAGGGAAGGTGGGGAGGAGGCGGAAGAAGAAGAAGATCGGAAGGGAGCAAGAACAATAAAGCGCTGGCAGCGAGCAAAGTAATGGAGCGCTCAGGGACACGTCACGAAAGCCCGCAGCTTCAATGAATTCCGCTCGATCCCAGCCTGGGTTTCCAGTCGCGGGAACAAAACAAGAGCAGATAAAACTTCGCGCAGTGCCATCTAGCGCCGAACCGACAAACTACAAGCTATGGCAAGTTCTCCCCACGACCACTTTTTTTTTTTTTTTAAGAGGGGAGATTGTTTCCTTTTCAGCTTGGAAGAGACTAAATGGAAACTTTACTGCGTGTGCAACCAACCCGCTCCGTTTCCTGGGAACAGGTTTTTATTTTTCCTGAGCTGAGGCAAAGGAGGACAGAAGCTACATTCTTTGAAGTAGGAGGGGGACATGTGGAATTCAGTGTTTCCTTCCTTCCTTCCTTCCTTCCTTCCTTCCTTCCTTCCTCTCTCTCTTTCTAAAAAAGGCTGTGTGGATTATCCCTTTTGGCGAAGATAATAGGAACATTTTTGGCAAGGATAAAGAAATTGAGAGACATTAAGCACGTTGGCTGTGGCGAGTTGCATGCTGTGGTAGGATTTTGAAGCTTTGCTTGACAAGGTCCACACTGAATAAGGACAAGCAAGAATTTAGAGAAAGCTTCTGTCTATAAATGGGAGAAGATAGTAATGAGACTTTGTAGGGCAAAGTGGTGTAGATTTAAAACATGATACAGAAACATAGGAAGCTGCCTTATACTGAGTCAAACTATCAGTCCTTCTGGCTCAGTTTTGTCTCGCTGGCTGGCAGCAGCTCTCCAGAGTTTCAGGCAGCGGAGATCTCCCTCAAGATGCTGGATGTTGAACCTGTGGCCTTTGGCATGCAAGACATGTGCTCCACCCCCTGGGCCATGGCCCTTTCCCTAACGATATTGGCTGTTGGGATTCTAATCTGGGTGGTACAGATGAAGATAGAGCCCCCCCCCATGTTTAGTGACCTTGGTAGGAACTTAACAGATGTGGAGTGGAAGCCCACGACATGTATTTCCCTCTGGGCAAATTAATATGGTGGTGGGTCTCACTAGTGCAGCACTTTGCAGTAGGCCTAACTACACAGCAAGCATTTTTTTAAAAAGATGAAATGTTTAGGGCAAGGGGCAGCAGATCTGTGGGCTAGTGCAAAAGACCTGGGGCTCAGCCTACCCCCAAGCCACCCCCTCATAATGTCCCTGGTGACAGTGCATCTCTGATCACCAGATACTGGGTGGGGACAAGTAACAAGCAAGACTGGTGAGCTCCATCATGCTCATCAGCTTCCAAAGGGTGGCTGTCTGAGCTTGGTTGAAGAGAGGCAAGCCCAGTGGCGGCTCATGCTTATTGAGACTGGTAGGGCAAGCTTCACTTGACTCTGGACCCAGCTGGTCCTTCACTATATTCAGCAAGGCAATTCTTGATGGTGTGTCAACTGCTTCAGCCAAAGCTGTTGCTCTACAGGGGTCAATGGATGACCATTGCAGGCTGGCATCTTGCTCTTAATGTGGAGGCATCTCTCTCTCTCTCTCTCTCTCTGTGTGTGTGTGTGTGTGTGTGTTTGCATGCTTGACCACTGCCAGTCTTGCTCTTTCATATTCCTGTTTATTGTTCTCCATTGCTTAAACAAGACCAAAATAGCCTTCTGTGAAAACTGAACATTTCTAATACTGGCAAATTCTAGATGGGAAACTGCCCTGTGATTCCATGGATATTCCACCAACGCTCCTTAGAGACTAGCCGAGATGCTCTATTACATGTTGAATTGCTCTTTCCATGATAAATGAAGAGTGATAACTGCCTTTATTATCTTACAATATTGTATTAGCCTTGGGACTTGACCCACAAGTTCTTTATTTTTGCTCAGATGAAAAGCACGGGATTTTGAACAGGATTCTTCTCTGATTGCAAATAATACTCGCGTTCCACTGCACTGAAAGAAAATGTGACAGGTTGGGTTTTTTTTAATGCTGCCATTCATCAGTACCTCTAATAGTGCCATGTTTAGTTCTGTTTCAGAATTGACAAGGAATTAAAATGGCAAGCAACTTTTACATGATATTTAAAGGGCCCAATTCTGCTATTGTGGAGAATATTTCATGCCTCGTGGAGATGAGATACCATCTGTTTGGAAAATTTTCAGAGCATGCTGCAGACCCAGAACGGGAGGGGGACAAAGACAGCAGTGGGTGGAAACTAGCTAAATAAGCTTTGTTATTTGAGTCACACCAGAGGGAAATTCCTCTTGTCCTTTCTTCAGTATTTCTTTTCCAGTTGCTGTGGTATTTGGCAGCTAGACTTCCAAGGCCGAGAGGTTTTAAGTCAGGAATCCCATGGAGGTGCTGCTCAGAATGACTTATGTAGTAAACAATAAATTGCATTACAGCTTTTATTCTTTGAGACATTAATTAAGATATGTAATTATCACAAATCCTCAATTTTTAAACAGCTGCCAGGATCTACATTTAGGATTGCTGCACTTGGATATATGGAATAACAGGGGAGAGGGGAAACCCACTGGTTAACTAAAGGTTCTCTGTGTGTAAAAGGTTGTGGAGTTATTGCTGTAATTCAACTACAAAAATCTACCTGATGTCTAGAATAAATCTTTCTTTGTTTTCCCTCTCTCCTTTGTTAAATCCAGTACACAACTTTCCCCATATTTTCCCCGTATATTTACATATGAACTTCACCATGAAACATTCCTTTTATATTAGCCCTCTGCCCTTGTGTTGCTTTTCCTTGCATCATGTCATCTCATTTTAAATGGCAGGTGTTTGGCTTAGATCTTGTGTTCAATAATGAATTTGAATTGGCAATATGTAAAGAGATGGTTGTGGGCTGTAGTGTTCAATGGCTATCATCGTTCAACAGAAAACGCCAAATGGCTTTGATTTTACTGCCTCCATTTCCACCGCTTTCTGGATGCTTGGCTCATCTCTCCCATGAAAGGCAGCTGTAAATGTTGCCACTCTGCTTTGCTCTGCCATGCGACTGCTTTGTGATATATGATAATCAGATTATGTTGTCTCCCTAATTTACAACCTCATTAACCTATATGGGGGAGAGGGAGGGAGCAAATAACCCTGTCGATCATAATTTGTAGCCAGAATGAATGATAAAAAATCTCATCTTGTCCAATTGTTACAAAGAGGATGTGAATGCCAAAAGAGTGTGCACATTTAGGCTGCATTGGTTCATTATTCTGTAGCTGGATTCCTAACTGCAGCCTCCCCCCTCCCTATAAACTATATTGAAGTCCACTAAGTCACAGACTATTCAGTACTAATTCTGCCTCTCCCTATCTAACTGTTTCTCAGCTTACCCGTTCTTACTGTAACTTCTCAGTTGAAATCCCCATTATGGCTCTCTCTGGCTTCACCGTCATGATAGCAAAATATTGCCAACCATGATCAGGGACAGTAGATCACTGAATGGGGGTGGTATACATGGTGCCTTCATGCCATTATTGTCAGTGTCCTAGAGGCATCTGCTGGTTACTTGTTTGAAACGAAATCATAAACTGAGGGCAAGTTTAATGCTGCGTCTGAGTTCCAAACTCCAAAATCAATTCCCCTTCAATTAATTTACAGCAGACCATTCAAAGCCCATCTAGATGCTCCCAAATATTTTCCCCAACCCACCAACAAAGTTCTTTTCAATAAATTTTATCTAAAACATTCAGAGCCCACCAGATCTCCCACAGCTATCCACTTTCTGCTAGTTTAACCCTCACAACATTCAGGTTCCACTCAAACCCTCCCAATTCAATTTCCCATTTAGACCCCTAAAATCTATTCACCTTTAATTTATTGACTCCCAGACATTCACACCCCCCAACTTCATTTCTTGTTCTGTGGTTCATCATGCACTGGCATATTAACAGTGGAGGCTCAAAGCCTTAGGTCCTGCCTGCCACATTGAAAAGAAGAATACAACAAATATAACAAATATAACAAATATAACAACTAATACTCACGGATGGTGGTGGTGATTTGCGCTCAATATGGCTGTTTGGTACACTGCATGTCTTAATGGCAACTTCCCCAGCTTGGTGGTAAACTCTGTAAAACTCACTGCAATGTGCTTCCAAATAAACACGCAGACCATTGGGCTGCCACCTACTTTTTTATTGTTATCAGATGCGTGCGAAACGACGGATAGTGCACACCTTATCGAAACAGCCTCTTTTTCTAACCACCAGGAGGTCTAAAATCAATAATAAAAGGAATTATAAACAGTGTCTGAAATTAAGCAATTAGAAAGCAGTCAAAACAGATAATTATGCTTTTAAGCAGCTACCTTTCACCCTTCCACTAATCTGTTGCCACATAAAACTTGGAAACTTATTTCCTTTTCTTGGTGAGGCTCCAAGTATATAATCGATGGTGTAAGAAGATATGTTTTGAGTGTTTTATTTAAAAAACCCCCAACTTTGATTCAAAAAGAAATAGCATGCACAAACATATCTGAAACATTATGTAGGATAAGCTAATACTTACCCAGAAGGAATCCATCAGCTTGCATCCTGCTGTATTCTCTGTTATAGGGAGAGACTTCGCCAGAGCCCATAATGGCTTGACTAGTCACTATGGGCTAGTGATTATGTCACAGACCAGCATACTAGATAATGCCTCCTTAGCTCAATATTACCACTCCCTAGTAAACTTAGAATTGGAGAACACGTGGGCTGAGCCAACAAAGTTGTTCCTTCTTGTGCCAATTATCACCCTCCTGGAGTAAGGCATTCTACTCTTGGTGGGCGGTGCTGGACAACCCTATAGTTAGTTCCTTTCCTGCTACCCCTTTAACTCTAAATTTATTGGAGGAACATGGGATGAAGCCTTGGGGTTAGGGTGAGGGATGACCGTCACCCCCCCCTTGGAAAAATGTAAAAACCATACCTAAACCTGGAATTACTTCTGTTATATATACTGTCTAGCTCAGAGGTGGCTAACCTTCCACTCCCCAGGCCTAGGGCCACATTCACCTTTGGCCAACCATTTGGGGATTGGTGTTGCCACCTCACAGACCCATGTGCCCACACACTCATGAACAGGACAGGCACACAGAGGCACGTGATCGCACCTTAAGAAAACGCATTACAGTTCCCTTTGCAAACACTCAAACCATCTAACTCATGGGTACGCAAACTAAGGTCTGGGGGCCGGATCCGGTCCAATCACCTTCTAAATCCGGCCCGTGGATGGTCTGGGAATCAGCGTGTTTTTACATGAGTAGAATGTGTCCTTTTATTTAAAATGCATCTCTGGGTTATTTGTGGGACATAGGAATTTGTTCATCCCCCCCCCATATAGTCCAGCCCCACACAAGGTCTGAGGGACAGTGGACCGGCCCCTTGCTGAAAAAGTTTGCTGCCTCCTGATCTAACTCAGCAAGCATGGTATGTGTTGAATGAGGAGCCCTCTGCAAACTTGCGGCAGTTTCTTTCAGGTTTTATGTGGGCCATTTGGCATTCAGGCTTCATGTGGGCATTTCAATTAAAGCAAATAGCCCACATAAAATCTGAATTGCATTTAGATTTAATTTTTTTTAATGGGCAAATTGCTCTGGTGGAAGGGGGGGAGTCATTGTTTCATGCCACTCACACAGTGCAGGTGGCATAGCTAGGGAGCTGGGGGTGTTCACTCTTGACCCTTTCGTTACATGTCCTCTCTTCCTGCCGCTTGTTATAGTAATTTCATTGTGATGTTTTCCCCTCCATAAGTCCTGAGCAAAGCAAAAGGAAAGCCAGCCTGGAAACATTCCTGAATGAGACTGGCCTGTGAGCTCCAAAGGTTCTGTATCCCAAAGCAGCTGTGAGGCAGCCAGAGCTGATTAGTTCTCTTCTATGCACAATGCAGTAAAAATGCACATGATGCGATTGCTCCCAGCAAACCTTATGAAATGTTCCAGGCAAGTGGAAAATGGGTTTAAACATCCCAGTTAGACCACCAAGGGACTGGTGAGAGGGCTAATTCAAAAGTCAGGTAGTCATCATCTATAAATGGATTGTGCTTGCTACAGGCCATGACAAATCCACACAATCGGCTTAAAATATAACTCAAACAGCTGCAAATAAAAACAGAGACCGTATATTGCGAGATAATTGATAACAGGGATACTGCCATGGCTACACTAACTGAGTTTCAGTTTAGACTTGCAAATCCCCCTTACGATTTATGGCAATTTTATCCAGTTCCTTCTTCCTAATCTATTTTTGCCACCAGATCAATTCAGAAACAACAGGTTCATCTGCTCTAACCTTTAACAATGTGCATATGTCTTGAGGGAGAGGGGTGAGCATATCTGTCAGTTTTGGTTTCTCTCCATGGTTCCATCCACATGAGGCATTGAAAGCACAATTAAAACACATTGCTTTCCCCAAAGAATCCTGGGAACTGTAGTTTACCCCTCACAGAGCTACAATTCCCAGCACCCTTAATAAACTACAATTCCTACAATGGGGGGGGGGGGAAGCAATGTGCTTTAAATGTATGGTTGTGTATGCAGCCTGTTTCTCATTTTTACAATCGTTAAGTTCAGTTCTCCACAGTTACACATACACACACATATAAACACCTCAGGAAAATTCATCATTTTAGCTTGAATTTAGCTTGAATTCAGTTCTGCATAATATGCATGTTTTTGCTAGCCATTTCCCCTACTATAATGCATCTTGGGATGCTATTTTCACTAAGATACATGTTTTTATGCATGCTTTCTCCTAGCATATGAATTACTTGGCTGGAGAACTGCACTGCCAAATTTGGAGAAGTGCCCCTTTTGAAGGATGGCTGCATTTTGTGTCATTTCAGGAAGGATTCATTGGGGCAAATTTGCCTTAAAATGTGAACTGAACCAAATTTCTTCCCCATCCATAGCTGAGAGGGATAGGATGGTCTCACTCTCCCTTCCGTAGGTATCACAGACTCAAAGCGGCATGGTCAAAGATCACTGAGAGCTATCAGCAGCCTTCTCTGCTGCCAAATGAGTTCCAGAGGAGGAGAGACTGATGGCTCCAGTGATGGAAAGCTTTCATTTAGCCTTACTGAAAAAGAAGCACATCAAACAGTTCACACACTTCATTGTCCAAATAACTCGTGTGCTCATTGTGCTTCAGAATGTGAGTTCAAGGGGATCTCTCCTTCCCCTCTGCACTACTTCAGAAGAGAGGCTTTTGTAGATCAAGACCCTATTTGCACAAGAATCCCACACCATTTTTCTGGGAGTGCCCGAAAAAATAATTATAATGGTGAAAGCCATACAAGAGGCGTAAATTCTGCATGGGAGCAAGCTTTGTCCCACATGATAGATCTACATTCCAGTCTTAAACACACACACACACACACACACACACACACACTCACACACACACACAGTCTGAAGTGAGTCCTGTACATCTTTATGCAGTCAGCTCTCAAGTTGTACCCTTAGGATTGCAGGCTAAATTTCCCATTTTAATTTGTAGGTGAAAAGTACAGTTCAGTCAAGCAACTACAGTGGTCCACCAATGGTGGTAGTGAGCTACTTGCCTCCTCCTTTGATGCACCACCGCCATTGTACTGAAGCTGTCTTCTGGGTGCCTGTCTCCACATGAGGTATGGCTTGTCTTGCTATACAGTATATCCTGCCAAAAATGATCAGTTGGATATCATTCTAGAGTGAATATTTTAAGTAATTTATTTTATGTAACTGTGGAAAGGTGGAAAACTGGAAGTCCTTTTGATTTTTATTTTTCTTCTTTTCTTTTCTTTTCTTTTCTTTTGGTGTCCCCTGCTTTGGACTGTTTTTGGGTCCAAGGATTACACACTGTGTTGCAGCCAAAGGTTAACTGCTCTGGAGACTGTGCATATGCCATCTTGGCACCCAAGGTAGCCCTTCAATTAATTGGAAGTAGTTCGTATATGTTTATCCATGCTTTGATATCCTAATCTGTGGATCTGAGATGCTGGACTCTGAGCCCAGAAAGCCGGAAACATCAGTAATGTTTGGAGTATCAACCACCTGTGTTCCCATCTAGTTAGGCAGTGTGACATATACTGCTTTACTCTATAAAGAATGTATGCTCTTTGGGCTGAGTGGGGACAAGCCATCTCCTTGCTGTGGTGCCTGCTTGCTGTAGCATCCATCCCATGTCTGTAAGGGCAAGGGTAACTAACAGGCTGCTTCGGCTGTAAGTCTATTTCCCTTCTTTAATAAAGCATTAGAACTGATCATTCTGGTGTTTTAGACTCCTTCCCTGGCACTCCTGAGAATCATGAACTCCTGGAGCTGTCCTCTGGCTCTACAGTCTGTGTGCAGGTCAACACGCAAACACACAGGAAGATAGTGGATGGTTGGTGAAGGACCATGAGTGAGAGGCAGGGAAGGGAAGACCTCCCAGGGTGAGAGATTGGGAAAGCTCCCAGGTGAGAGCTGGAAGAGTCCACTGTGTGAGACAAGGGTTAAGTGCTACCTTGGAGAGAGGAATCTGCATTTTCTTTCTCCTTTGCTACTTCCTCCCTTACCATGCATGAGAGTCTGCTAAATGTAAACTGGGCTGAGCCTGTAGGTGGGCTTTCTTATGCCCAACATCACACATTGGGGAGGGATGTTTTCCCAGATGTGTTAAATATTAGATTTCACTGTATGTGAGATACATCCAAAGACAGCTTTACTATGGGAAAATAAGGATGAACTGAAATCTCATAGCTTTTCATGTTAGAAGCTAGGGTAGGAACTGGACTTTTCTATCACCCATTCCTTTAAATGGGTAACACAGGGCTTTTGGCAAATGTATTCATGGGGTAGATTTGCCCGATCACATACTTGAGAGTAAACAATAAGAAGTGACCACCATCACCAACGCACACTTCACTAAGAGTCCAGAAGCACTGAGCCAGCCACTATCAGAGATGGAACGGCAGACTAGATAGAACTTAGCCTGATCTAATAGGGGCCGTTCTTCGGTTCATTGTGTTTGAATTAGTCATAATACCATTCTTTCTGTGTCTGTGAAAACCTAAGTAGGAGGAGCTGTAATGCTGCAAATGTCTAATAATGGGAAGACTTTAGTCTTTCAGTGCCAACTATAAGAAAGCTATAGTGTTGCAAAAAATAATGTTTCCTTATTGCAATGTTCCTTTCTCTCCTGGAAATGAAGTACTATTTTTACTTCCTTTGAGCAAAGCCATTATTAAAAAAAGCAGAAGCCTCATCAATGAGGTTATATAAAAATGCAGGCCAAATCAGCACAGAGACACACAAACTGTCTACCAGCCCAGTGAAGCTGTACGGGTTCCTTGAAGTCTGTAACAGTCTCTGTCACTCAGCATGAGTACCTTGTATTAGGGACTTTGAATTGTACAGCTTGTGTGTGAGGGATGGCAGGAAAGCAAAAGAGGCAGCCAGCCAGCCAGCCGCCCACACAGTGCTGCAATATGCCTGCTACAGGCTGCTGGTGAATGCAATCTCTCTCAAAACCCATTTGCTCGCTTTCAACTTTTCAGGTTTGTGCTTTCTGTTTGCTTGATTCATTTGCCATGGCCTGCAAAAAGCACC